GCCACTCCCGAGAAAAAGCCCAAGTCTGGACCTAAGCCTGAAACTGTGTGTTTCTATTGCAAAGGGACTGGTCACTGGAAGCGGAACTGCCCCAAGTATTTGACGGATAAGAAGGATGACAAAGTGAAAGGTATATTTGATATACATATTATTGATGTGTACCTTATTAATACTCGTAATAACGTCTGGGTATTTGATACTAGTTCTGTTGCTCATATTTGCAACTCGAAACATGGGCTACGGATTAAACGAAGATTGGCTAAAGACGAGGTGACGATGCGCGTCGAAAATGGTTCCTGTGCTTGCGTGCGATTGTAAGGTGAGTGCATGCGTGTATGTATGAGCGTTCGTGTCTGTATTGTACTGAAGAAAATACCAATAGAAACCTTTTTCCTTTTTATATATCTTTCCCTACTAATAAACCACAGATGGTTTCTGGTTGTACGTCGTCGGCGCTTTTGCAGAAAAGTCCCTTCATTTTTCAGAAATTAACCCGCAGTCCTCCTAATATGTCAAACTGAACCGGTACGGGCGATGGAAAAAACACGCTTACCTCCCCCGTCTCCACCTCCAGCGCGCCGCCGGCCCCCGCCAAGCGCCGTCGCAGTCTGCCCTCGCCCCTCCGCCGCACGCCGCCCCCACCCCTATGGCTTTCCACCACCGGAGACACTCGACGCCGGCGCCGCACCTTCCCCCAACTCCTCTCTCTCCTCCTCCTTCGCCGTCACCGCTCTTCATCAGCCGGCAAACTCCGTCGAAATGGGCAGGCGGCGCTGGAGTTCATCGGAACGGGTAGGCGAGCGGCGGGCGGCGCGAGGAAGATGGTGGATCCGGGCGCGGCGTTGAGGGTTCAGGCGGCTGGTGTGGCAGCTTGCTCCGATGGCGGCGGTGTCCTGCTCATCCAGAGAAAGAGAGAGACATGGCGTGAGGGAGAGAGGAAGAAATGAGAAGGAGAAGGGGTGCAGGGTGAGGGAGGCAGTCGCCGGCGGTGGCGCCGCTCTGCCGCTGCATCTCTCTTCCCCCACGTCCCTACTGCTGCTCCTCTAACTCCATCTCTCTGCTGTCGATTCTCTGCCCGCTGCTACCTCTCCTCTCTGCTCCTTGCTGCCTGTGGCTGTCCCATCTCTCCTAGCACTGCTGCTGGTGCACTTCTTCTGAAGCTCTTCTCAAACCCGTTGATGCAGTTCTTCTCTGAACTCCAACCTGTTGCTGCTTCTCTCTCTCTCTCTCAATTTTTCTGTAATTCTGTGAACCACAAACCATTGTTGTGCGATTATATGATTTGTGGTATTTGCTTGAGTGAACCTGTAAGGTTTGTACCTTCTGGAAAGTGCTAGCACCTACATATTATCCAATTTTTTCTAAATGTCATGAGGCATGAGCCACAATATTTCTCAAGAATGACCCTTGGTATATATAAGGCATGCATACAATTTTAATAACACTCTTTTTGCTCTCATTTATCTGTTGGCATAGAGCATCGTATAATATAGAAGAGTCATTCAAACATAGCTCTTTGAATATCGGACAAAATATTGGTTGCCTGATTTATTTATAAGAAGATTCTTCTATGTATTTAGTTACATGATTTTAATTTGATCGTCTTCTTTCAACTTTTTTTTGCCAAGTATGATATTTCCTTAGGTTCACCTTGACCTTCACTGCTCTTGTGTAAGAGCTTAAGTAAATTGATGTTGTATCATCAGAATCTGTAGCCTTGCACAGTTTTTTTTGTCTGTACATTCACTTCATCAGAAGCATTTTCTTTCTCCAATTCTGCAACTTTATAAACTGCAGCTCAGTTTTGCTCACAAATGTTTTGCTCCTCATAAAACTAATTTTCTACTAACTGATTTCCGTATTTCCATTATAGTTTATTCATTACCATGGTCAAGGAATTATCAGCGTTTTTTCTGACTTGGTCAACTTACCCTTGCAGTAATTTAGCAGTTGAGATCAAGATGCTACTCCAATCTATATATGAAACCAAATCAGGTGGGCTTGATGACAAAGAGGTAATAAGAGATGAACTCTTCCATATAAAAAGTTGATGGTCCTAATTAGTTTATAGCTTATATCTTGATCACTTTAATTTACATGACATCTCCAGGGCTTTTCGTGTTCTGTGGTAATATATTTGATTATAGTCACAGCTTACGCAAGATGATTATTTACGTTCCTAATTTATCTTCCTCTATCATGGTGGTAGGGAAACATCGCCGTTAGTTTGCCTGAGATAGAAGGACTTCACATAATTTTGTCAATAGCATTGATCAGGATATCTTTTTTCTTATTCCTTTCTATTTGTAGACAAGGAAGAACCATAGAGAATCTCGATCCTTACACTGTAGCAGTACCTGAAGCAGAGCAAACCGCTGTCTCAAATTTAATAGTAGATGGAAAGGAATGGTTGTTTTTGTTGCAGGTTACTCCAAGAACAAGTGCATTGCCAAGCTAGATGTTTTATATTATCCGTCCATAATCTGAATGCTTGTGTATCCTGCAACTTGGTTAATCCAGGAGGTATTTGTGTTCAAACACAAGTGTGGGCTGCTTGCAGGGTAGAGCATAATTGGATTTTAAAGCCATTTATAATGTCCTGCAAAACTATAAGTTTGAACAAAGGTACATTAAGTTGTGTCACTCACATGGACAGTGTTGCCATCTATAATGCCTTACAAGTCTGAGCTCCCTCACGATAATCTGATTAGTGTGTCGCAAGTCTGCTATTTCTAACTGTACAAATTCTGCACTTATTTAGCATTTTACATGATGCGTAGATTTTTCAGAACAGAAATAAGTCAATCCTTATAACCTGATTTTGCTATATTATTTAGTTTGAAGTTACTTTGTAAATCCCAGTTTCCCCATTATTGTAACTCTGTGTCAAATTAAACTGACATTTCTCTTGTGGACAACTTCAATTTGTAATATCATGATTTTCTTTTTCAGAAACCACTTCAACTAGCCTAGGGCTATGTCTATTAGTCCTCCAGTATTTCTTGGAATGAGATAACACATGTTTCTTCAAGTGTCTACACACTACATGAAGTAATTTTCTTATAGAAGTAGTCAAACCTGGATAGCAATTTATTGGAACATTATATTTCTTATAGAAGTAGTCAAACAAGGATATCAATTTATTGGAACCATCAAGGAAGAGACACTCCTGGAGGGTCAGAAGTAATGCAATATATTCTCTCTCTTATGCCTATTTAAAATACAGTTGTAGGGTTGTACTTTGCCACTCATATTGCAGTACTCAACTGTAGCATGGATGGAGCAGGAAAATGTGCTAAACCTTCTAACATGGACACTGCACTTGTACGAGCTATGGGCCACTATTGTTTGTCATATGGATTGTAGATGTAGTGGTAATGTACCAAATTTTTCATGTAGTAAGGATGATACGTTATATGGAGTATAACAATATGGTTGCCGTGACCTTCCTATTGTCCGTAGAGCCAGAAGAAAAATAGAATAAATTTTTTCATTAGACAAATAATAGAATTGGTGATTGAATATCACATGTCTGTAATTTTATATCTATGTGGGAGCTTGACGTAAGAGTACATGCAGAGTATACAAGTGAAAAACATTATTTATTTACAGGCGTTATTATCAGAGTTTTTTTTAACAGGAGGGATCCCGAAGCTTTATTACCATCGTCATAACATGATACAACACATATGACATCTAGGCCCTAAAGAAACAAGAAAATACATGACAAATCGATGGACTTTTACAAAAAAGGACCTCAAACTGAGAGACAAAAACATGATCAGGTCCTTGCGTCAGTGTAGGTTGCATCTCGCTGCCGTCGGGGACGAGCCACTTGGGGCAACGAGGTTTCTATGGCAGTATGGCTCGAGGCCATACATAGCCCCAAATAGAAGAAACATTGCCTCCTTGTTGGCATAGCCCTAGGAGGAAGAAAGAGGCGCGCAGACAGACCCATCGCCTCAGAAGGTTGCACTTCAACCTGAAGAGTCACCAGAGCGACGAAGACCACCCATCGATTGCCAAAGACCAGCTTCAGCGAGTGGCGTAGCTTCATAACAATTACCGGTGAAAATAAGCTCATATCCAATCATATAATATATTTTTGGATGAAGTTAACACCAAAGCTTGTACCGGTAAAAATTAGGGCCAGTTCGGAAGTGAAAATCCTAATGAAGTCTTGTTGACCTCAAATGTTGGCTTTACAAGAAACGACTCATTTTTTCGCAATAATGGATGAGCAAGAATTTTAAAAACTAATGTTTCATTGTTGTTTTCCCGTGACAGCGCACGGGCATTTTACTAGTAGGGTATAAAAATAAGAAACTTTATTTTCATTCGTACTTGCATAGCGAAACCGTGTACTGTATGTACTCCCTCCGTCCGGGTTTATTAGGCCTCTTAGCATCACAAGCATGTCCCCTTTTATAAGGCCCCGCATTGGAAAGGTGCATGCATGCAACCATTTCATTGGTCGTATTGAAAGCTATTGTTGTTGGTGCCATGGCTGAAAAGTTAATACACTTCATGTGTGCTTTTTCATTGGCTGCATGCATGTGAGAGAGTGCATTGGGGGTGGAATTGAATAATTAATGTGAGCAAATTACTACGTATGTGTCTTGGTCTAAGAGAAGTTGTCTTTAGGCCTAATAAATCCGGACGGAGGGAGTATTTCCATCAGGCGGTTCGGTTCGTCGGCGTCAGCCGGCCTGCGGGGCACCGGCCACGTTGTATTAACCGGAGCCGGCCCAACCTTCCACCCGCGAGCTAAACCCGACCAAGGGGAAAGCAGGGCCACCGTTAGCGCCTCCTCTCCCCGCTCCGATCCGGATCTCCCCATCCATTCCGGCGAGCCCTCGCCGCGTCGCTTCCACGCGACCCTACTTCCTTAATAAATTCAACCTCCCCGCCGCTGCTCCCGTCAAACCCCGAATACTATCGGACTACTTCCTCCCCTGCCCGCGCCGCCTCCCGAGCCCAACAAACCCTAGGCGACGCCCATGGACTTCGAGGCCGACGGCCGCTTCGGCAACAAGCGCGTGCACAACCGCCTCGGACCGGCGCCCGGCGCCGCCTCTTCGTCTTCCTCTACCAAGGTCTGCATCCATTGGCGCGCTGGGCGATGCAATCGCTTCCCCTGCCCCTTCCTCCACAGCGAGCTCCCTGAGGCGGCCACCACCAAGCGCCCGAACCAAAGGGATGGCCCTGGTGGGCACGTCTGGCGCAACCCCAACTCAGGAGGAGGGGGCCGCGGTGGCGGCGGCGGCTTCAACAAATGGGGGAGGGGCCCCGGAGGTGCAGACGGTGGCGTGAGGCACAAGGTGCCCGACCGGCCCTGCAAGTTCTTCCTCGCCGGAGACTGCACCTACGGCGAGAAGTGCCGCTACCCGCACACATATTGCATGAGCAATAGCATCACGCTGCTCACCCCTCTCCAGGGCCACGAGAAGGTACTTCATCTACAGATAAGACCGTCTAGTAAAATTCAAAACGTCGCTGATCAAATGCTGTGCGTCCTTTCAGGTTGTGACAGGGATCGCACTGCCTACTGGGTCAGACAAGCTGTATTCTGGTAGTAAGGATGGAACAGTGCGCCTTTGGGATTGTCAAACTGGACAGGTAGCTGAGGCATCATTGAATTGTATCCTTGGAAGGATTGTGTGTTCTCTTCTCTATGACAATTTTCAGTACCTTTATTTTCTATATGGTGTGTGATAGTGTGCTGGTGTCCTCCCCGTGGGGGGTGAGGTTGGGTGCATGATCAGCGAGGGGCCATGGTTGTTTGTTGGAATACCTGATGCTGTCAAGGTAGGAGATGGTGCTTGAGATTTGGGATTTTAACCCAATGCTATTGCTGTTCCACATGTGTGTCTGACTGTATGAGCTGTTGCTGCAGGTTTGGAATATGCAAACTCAAGCAGAAATGAACCTTACCGGGCCGACTGGACAAGTCTATGCACTAGCAATTGGCAATGAGCTACTCTTTGCTGCAACACAGGTACACTAAATTCCTTTTGGCTTGTCTTTGGCTCTAACATTTGTTTTGGCAAATATAATTTCCGTTAATGATGCATTCTCTCGTATTACACTTGGTGCAGGATGGAAGGATTTTGGCATGGAGATTTAGCGCCGTGACAAATTGTTTTGAGCCAGCTGCTTCTCTTACTGGGCATCAGCTTGCTGTTGTTTCGTTAATAGTAGGAGGCATGAGAGTTTACTCTGGCTCAATGGATAAAACCATTAGAGTAAGGACTGAGAACTTGTGCATTGTTGTTCACACATTCTTAGATACAGTTAATGTAGTTGGCTTTGATGCATGCATGAGATCATGATTTTCTGTTAGCTTGTAACACTTCCATCTCTTTAGGTCAACATCTGTTTTATCCTCTGTGTTTCTTCTAATGGTGGATCATGGAAGTATGCACAAGCAAAGTAGACCCATGTATTGCATATAGTTATACACTTCTGACTGTTCTCATTAATTTAAGAGGTAGGCATATTGGTAATTAGTTCGTCACTTCGTCTGGAGTTACAAGTCAGATGTAAAACAGATGATGCCTGAGATTTGTGCTACTATGTAGTCAGAATAAATGTAACTATACAAGCAAAGCTGGCATCTAATGTTTGTGCAAATCTGCATCAGGTTAGCCACTGTTACTATGGGTGTTGCAGTCCTGCATCACATATAACTTTAGAATTTAGAGTGGCCGCTCACTTCAATAACTTACTGTGAGTTTACGTGCACATTTTATGGTGATATCTCAACCGGCATGTGGAACATTTGTAACAAGTACTTCAAAAAAAAAAACGCCATCTACATTAGTGGGAAGGCTCCAATCCCAACAAATAAAATAAAATACCTCACTGCTGTAACACTTACATATGGTGTCTGATGCTGTGGGAACTCTGTTATTGCCCTGTTGCTGTTGAATTTTTCCTGGTACTTTTGGTATCCCCAATCTTGATTCAACATGAAGTATCTCTTCTTTCTTAATGTGCACGATTTTCAGTCACCTGGACTTATTTTGCTCCACGCGACAGATGGTACTTTAGCATTACATTGTTCAATTAAGATCAGAACATGTTGTCGCTTTGGTTTACTCCCATTCTACAAATAATATTAAGAACATGACAAATATTTCAGGTATGGGATCTGGCAACGTTGCAGTGCATACAGACTCTTTCTGATCATACGAATGTAGTTATGTCTCTACTATGCTGGGATCAGTTTCTGTTATCTTGTTCTTTGGATCAAACAATAAAAGTTAGTCTCTATCCTTGTCCCCTTGTTATCGAATGATTCTACAGATTCTTACATTCTTGTTACACATTTGTCCTTTTCAATACTATTCATACTTCTAAGTTCTATTTTTCTTAGGTCTGGGCGGCTACAGAAAGTGGAAACTTGGAAGTAACATATACACACAAAGAGGAGAACGTATGTGCTCCGACACTCTTGTACAGTTGTCATGTTGCGCGATTGCAGTTTGTTTTGTTACAACCTTTCCTGTTAACTTTTGATTCATCCTTTCTTGGCCCTTTTTTGTGTGTAGCGCTGTTCTTATTTATGTCCTGCTTCAGTATTACTACAGTACAATTAATAATCTTATAAGATCTTGTTTACGCTCCTTTGAACTTACCATTAGGATTTCCTCGTCGTATGCTAAACATAAACATATTCAGAATTTTGCACATGCAAGCTCAGAAATCTATATACATCAATCCATGTCAACTTGTCTACCATTGAACTTGAATATTTGAACTAGACCAGTAAGTGAACTGGTCAAATGACTGTTAAGTTCAATAATATTGTTATTTTATTTTTAAAATTTGTATTCACTATTTGGTTGGTATGCAAGCTATTGCACTTGACTAAGGTCCTCAAAGCAAGGGTTAATTCGATTAAGTACTGCTCCCTCCAGTCGGGTGTATTAGTCGGCTCGATAATCCTCATATATTAGTCGCCCAAGCAATAAATCCCTTGAAAATCGCTCTCCTTGTTTTAAGGGACGTCTTGGTCGCCGCACTATGGTTCTCCTGACTAACAAACCTGGCTTGAGGGAGTATTCCAGCTCATCTTATTTGAAGAATGACACTACAAAAATTAAGGCCAACTTCTAATAAGCACTTGGACGCCATTAATTGGCATGAACACGCTAAAATGCCAATTTATGTTTCTTCTGTTCTCAGTTAAATTGCCACTTCCTCTTTCCTCTCACATCTTATCTTCCCCACCACCGGTGGCAGTGCTCTAGCAAGCTCGCCGTCCTTCCTACTATCCTTTCTGTATCTTCTCCATCTTCCTGCCTGTCCTTTCTGTCCATGCCCAACTGTAGAAGCTGACATGCTGGGCTGTGAAGCATGAACAGATCTGGCGCACAGTGTGGCTGGGTAAAACGGAAGTAGCAACTACCCATGGAAAATAATAGGCGATGGGTAAATAAAACAGCGGCTTGCTGCGAGCTTCGTAACTGCATGGTCCATGCTGGTGGTGATGGGATTGGCCATCACTGAGGTGGCAACCATGAGCCCATGAGAGCGAGCCGATGAGGTGAGGGTTGGAGAAAGGGAAGAAAGGAGCAGACGCGGACATTTTGGTCTTGAAATTATCAGAATGACATATCCAAGTGATTTTTTGTTGTGGCCTTTCTCAAATATGCATAGTTAGTAGTGTCATTTATTGAATTAACCCAAACAGGTTCATACCAGGCTCGTGATCTGATTTCAATAAGTATGGTCTAAAAAACAACACCCCAGGTAGAAATAAACTACCTTGACAAGGAAATGCGGGCAGCTCTCGGGTTGGATGGCGTGATTGATCATCCATGCGGTATTGACCTTGCTAGAGAAGCAGTGTTGGAATTCTTGCTTAAACAGGAGAAGCTCCACTCACCAGTTCTTGGTCTCAGAAAACTTGATCTAGTTGTTGCTGTTGGGTCATGGGATTTATGGTGGAAGCGTAGGAAACTGGTACATGGGGAGGCCACTCAGATGCCGGCTCAGATAGCTATGGTGGTCAGATCATTGGTTGCACATTATGCAGCGGCCTACTCACCGAAAGCAGCTGTTAAACAGGGTGTCTGGACACCTACTCCGAGAAATTTCGTTAAACCAAATGTGGATGCGGCATTTGACGCTGATACACCACAAGGAGCTGTTGGCGGCTTGGCGCTGTTGTTCGTGATGGCTCGGGGAAATTTATAGCTGCTGCTGGCAGCCGTATCAAATGGTGCTCTGATGTGCGAACAGCCAAGGTCACATCAATGAAGCATGGGCCGAACCTAGCACAATCCTTATGATGTAATCGATTGATTGTCAACTTGGATAGCTTGGATGTAATCTTGGCGTTTAAGGATGGAGCTGGATTTGCTGGAGTTGGCGCGGCGTTCTTTGATGACTGCTATCACATAGCCTGTGAATTCCAACAAATTCAGTTTGAGCATTGCCTTAGACAAGCAAATTTTGTTGCTCATGAACTTGCTAGGCTAGGTAGGTTCTCGCTGGCTAGTGTATGGATGGACGATCCTCCTGCATCTATTGTTCCTTTGCTTGTAAGTGAAGTAACACTTACCACCAATGAATGAGAAGGAACGATACTTACTTACTTACTTACTTACGAAGCCTTTTATCCCAAACAAGTTGGGGTAGGCTAGATATGAAACCCTTTCACGAGGACTTCCCAGGAGGTCACCCATCCTAGTACTACTCTCGCCCAAATGGGTTTCATACCCAAAAGACTGGCTAGTTTTTACGTTGGCTCGCCAAGCCTATCACAACCCTTAGATATGAAACCCTTTCACGAGGACTTCCTAGGAGGTCACCCATCCTAGTACTATTCTCGCTCAAATGGGTTTCATACCTATGGGACTGGCTAGTTTTTACGTTGGCTCGCCAAGCCTATCACAGCCCTCCTCCTTTACCCGGGCTTGGGACCGGCTATGCCTAGAAGACATAGGCGGAGAAAAACTACCTTGACAAAGAGATTACTGCTCCTGAAAAGAAAGAACTACGTAAACAAGAAGCTTCAGTTAGCCAGCAGACATCTTCATAGAGGCTTGCCTTTCTTCGTAGCCACTTGCGTTGAAATGCCTAACAGTCTTCATGAAGAGTGTGTTTGAGAACAGTAGATACCTTCCTCTGATTCATACCAGTTTGATCCTTTTCTGACTGAGTGAAGTGCCCTACAAAAGAGTTGCAGATTGCATGCAGTTCAAGTTGTATTCGCTGACCATATTGTTTCTCGTAACCTTCCACCTAGCCACCACCTGAAAGAAAATGAGAACGAGGTACATGTGATTTGAGGATTCCAAAGCATGATATTTGGGCTGCACTTGCCCTGCCCGCGCAGTTTACAGTTGATATCACACTCCCAGTTTTTCCGTTTCAGTAGGCTTCCTGAGGGGTTTCTGTTTTGGAAAAACTGCCAGAAAAATTCTTTCCAAAGGTAATCCCCCCTTCAAGATTTTTGAACCACCATTTAGTGCTCCCTCCGATCCATACTAAGTCTGCGACAATTAATATGGATCGGAGGGAGTACCATCTTCCCCCTTTTGTAGTTATCATTGCCATTCAGCAGAACATTTCCCTCCGAAACATCTCTCCAGTTAGAAGATCTGTTCAACTCTTGCTAATGCCCTTGTTTGATAGGAGTAATTGATACTCCTTCGATCCTCCGAGCAATACTTATGCAATGATTTTGTATCTCATGTTCAACGACCAGATGGTCTCAAACTCCCATTTGTTTGGCTTGCTTGATGTTTGAATCAGTACTCAATTTTAGTCTTTGAAGTTCAAGCATTTGCTACTTGCTGAGTTCATCAAATAAGTCTTTGAAGTCATGCTTTGTGATCCGCACAAAATTTGGTAGAAGGAATTGAAAATCCGTTAGATCTCAAGAATTACTAACATTTCGCATGCAAATTTTCTTCTTGACGAAATCTTTTTCTCGTTGCAAAGGAAAATTAATATTATCAAATCTTATAAGTTATAACATGAAAATGTGGTGACATGCTGAGGTTTGTTTTAATTCTATCAACTGAAGTTAGTATGTACTCCCTCCGTTAACTAAAACCACGACAAGAATTCTGGAACGGAGGGGTAGGAAATTGTAGAGTGTGGACTAACCTTTAAGGGCTCATTTGGTGGTTGGGGATGAAAAGGCTTGGGCAATAAACCCCTAAGGGGGGATTTCCATGCTCACTTAGGATCCCCGCACAACCACGGGTTGCTGTTTGGACACCAAGGAAAAAGGAAAAGGAAGGTTGTCTCATCGGCACGGATGATGAAGGCCAGAACTGAAGAAGCGAAACGAGATGTAGCAGTAGGAGGAGGCGCTAACCTAGCAACCTTGGTCGAAGGAGGAGGACGACACCGCCTGGCCATCTCATCGCTGGATGAGATAGTAGATCCGAGGTGGATCAAATCTTTGGGGAAGGAAGGATGACACCCAGCCATGGCCGTCACTTGGGGCAGGTGATTTTGGAGGCGCATTGTTGAGGGTTGACACTAGAGAAGGAGGCGTTGGTGCCGGTCGCTAGGCGGAGAAATCTGCAGACGCTGCGCCGTCTTTTCTTGTTCTTGAGAGGACGAGCCGAGGGTTTCCACCCGGACCCTCGAGACATGGAAATTTCCCTGTGGAAACGACACGGATAGGGACGGAGAATTCATGGTGGTAAGCAACCAAATGCTTCGGTAGTTTTCCACCGTCTAGACTTGACGCGTGGGCTCTATGCCCCGGTTTTTGACAGGGATCCCTGTGGAATCCCGTGCAACCAAACAAGCCTTAAAAAGATGTAGTAACTAGTAAGGCCCTCGTCTACATGCACTAAAGTGCTTGGCAGCAGCCAAATAAGCTGCTTTGGTGGCTTGGCTATAGGCAGCCAGTGAGTTCCTGTGGCCAGAAAACAACCTCTGACGAGAAATAGACGACTCCTGTGAGGAATCGTGCTCAGCATCGCTTGCGGGATTTGATGTGGTCGTCTCCGGCAGGATGTCGTTGTCGCTGGTACCAACATTAGTGCTGGTTGCTGCCGCCACGGCTGCTGTTTGTATGTGTGGTGGCTTTCACGGAGTGCTAGAGGAAACCCTACACAGATAATGCAGCAGCTGTGGGCTCGGCCATAGTGCACTGATGGGCGTTCTCTCCCTAAAACACTATTCTTACTCTGATCTCTCATTCATGCCTGCTAGTGGGACAAATGGGGTGTCACCGTGGCAAACGTCGCCACTTAAAGCGACCAAGGGGCTGGCAAAACGCTGCTTAGCACTATTTTCACTCCGATCTCTCTTCCACGCCTGCTAGTGGGTCAAATGGGATGTTGCCATGGCAAACGCCAAGGTGCCCAGGCTCCACTGAAGTGATCAAGGCGCTGCAAATCGCCTGCTGAGTGCCTAGCAACTTTTAACCCCTTTCAGTAGGCAGCTATAGTGGCTTGTTATCTGATTCACAACGTGTAGGTTACAATACAATAGCTTCTGTCTTCTCAAGAATATGCTCCTTCTCTTGCATGATCTACCTTGCCAAAAGTTTGGGAATTATGTTCTGCTGTATCTACGATCTGATTGCTTTGTTCCGTTTGTAGGGTGCACTTGCTCTTACTGGCATGCCTGATGCACAATCAAAACCTGTGCTAGTATGTTCATTAAATGACAACACTGTCCGCCTCTATGACCTGCCATCGTAAGAAAGTTACCATGCTAAGATCATTTCTGTTTTCTTTACTTCTGACGTTTTTCTGAAGTGACTCTCCTTTGTTTTATAGGTTCAGTGATAGGGGCAGAATATTCTCCAAGCAGGAAATTAGGGCAATACAAACTGGACCTGGTGGTTTATTTTTCACTGGGGATGGAACCGGTGAGCTGAAGGTTTGGCAATGGATTATTGATGCCTCCCAAACCTGATGGATATAGTGTACTCTAGATTAGTTTCCCAATGTATGTTATGCGGGATTTCTCAAGGATACACATAATGAGTTGAGGTGTGGTTGGCGATCAGTTCAATTTTCGGTTATATCCTACATTTATTCTCCCAAGGATATGAGACTCCGCTGGATCGGATTGCAGTTAGAACACATGCAGAGGGCCCATGTAGTATCAGTATGAAAGCTAGTCTTGTTCAGGAATGGGTTCGACGTCGGGGGAATAATTCCTTGTAATTTGCAGAGCACCGGAACATGGAAGTGTCTCATTGCTTTTCTCCGATGTGCTGATAACTTCAAAGGATGTATTAATATAAGGATTTTGTTCGGCCGCGTTTGGGTTGGGGAAACTTGAGATTTTCTCGCGGCAGTTGTAAGTGCCATCTTTTTTGGAACAGTTATATGTTGGGTTCGTTCGCTCACGCATGCCTCTTGCTCTTTTCATTGTATAAATTGGGTGTTCATAACTAAATATAGATGTATTTCTTCCTGAAGCACTGTAGAGTGAAGGCTTCACCCTATATTGCCCCGTTGTATGCACATTCCTGGAAGTCAATTTTTGGTGCAAAACAAATGCCTAGTTGGTTGTGATTTCTAATCTTTTGATGGCACGATCAGAACTAGGGTCAATATTTGAGTTTGCAGGAAGGAAAGGGAAATTGCCTTATACTGAATTCTAATTTTGTACTCTCTTCATTTCAAAATATAGTACGTCCGCGCTTTTTGAGGTCCAACTTTGACCATAAATTTAACCAACGAGACCGACTGTGGCAGAAGAAAAAATTATATATTTGAAAACTTCTTTTGAATATGAATCCATTAGTACTTTCTCCGTTCCGATTTACTTGTTGTTGTTTTAGTTCAAATTGAACTAAAACCACGACGAGTAAATCGGAACGGAGGGAGTTGCTCCCGTTGCAATTGGTCTTGATGATCAAAATTGAAGCACGGGAATAGAGGAAGCACTATATTTTGGAACGGGGAGTAAAAAATTCAGCCTTCCTCACAAGCGCTAGTTGCAACTATTCTACAGTTCCCCACGTTTGAGCGCTAGACGACAACCCGGATTCCAGGTTCACCCGAATGTTTTCTCAAGGCCTCTTTATATGGCTGACAGAGGAAGTGTTTCCTGGTTCAAGTCACCTGCCGTGCAGCCACTATATTTCAGCAGAGCATACAAAGGCAACCCGGAGATGAAGCAAAGCTTTTGTGGCGATGATTGTAAAATTTGTGCCACTAGATTGTGGGACCATGACTCTATGGCTGCTTCTGGAGAAGCATGCTTCTCGCCGGTTCGATCGCGTGCACATGTTCATAACTCACTAGGTGGAAAGTGTGCCACATATTGAAAAGCTTAGAAAGGGACTGCACGGGGACGACGAGAAAAGGCAGACAGTAGACTCGATCATTGTGCAATGATACCACCACCCGCGCGAGCGTGTGTATTTCCTCGTTAGAGCATCTACAGCTGATTAGGCAAATCCGGGCCCTCAAACGCCCATAAACGCGTCCAAATGCATCTGCAGGTAATGACTATCAGTTCTTAGAATTGTTCATTTGCATCCGAATATCTCATACTAGAAATCTAAATTCATATAGAAGCATGCAAAGAAAAAATAAATCCACTTACTATGTAGATCAACTATCCTAGTCATCGTGGAAGATATATATTATCTTCGTGCCCGGCTCCGGGTACATGGGCGTTAGCTGCAGCTGCAGCTGCGGCTCCTTCACGCTGGCTTCCGCATCCATCTTCGCTTCGACCTCGTCGAAGAGCGTGTTGGTCGTCGTCCGTTCCTGTCGGATGAACTGCCGGTTGGCCTACACATATGCCTCATCTTGAATGGACTACACGATGGCCTTCTACTCCGCCATCCTGCTTGGGTGACGGCGAACTCCGCCTCCACGTCCTCCATGTTGGAGCACGGAGCCGGTGCCAGCTCCTGCTCCGGTTGCTCCGCCTCGTCCTTCTTCATACCCGCCACCTTCATCGGTCGGCTGTTAATTCTCTCCCTCCTCCTCCTCCTCCTCCTTCGGCTCCGGTGAGTCCGAAGGCAGCCCAACAACGATGCGGGCGGCGCCCGTGGCGCGCCTCGCCCGAATCTCCTGCTCGATCTGGTACCGACGCTTCGGCGTGTGTATAGCGCATGTGGTTATCTTCTGTCGGACCATGACGAAGGCGGAGAGCGTGGGAAGAACGGCGAAGCGGGAGAAAAGAGGTGGATGGGCTCGGACTGGTGGTGCGAAGAGGGAGGAGGTGGATGGGGTAGGGATGGGGACGTCGTCCGGCTTGAATAGCCGGATTGGGCCTCGGGCGGCAAGCCGGCGCCACGTGGCATTCACACCCTTCGTGGTGGAGACGTCCGTTGGACAACCGGATTTTCGGGCGATTCCGCACGGGACCCATTTGTCAGTCCGATGTGACAGACACACCCGGGCGCCCCATATCCATCCCATATTTAGACTGGATATGAGGGGTGCCGGTCAACTGGGGCGTTTGGGGCTTGTTTGAGGCATTCGTCTGAATCAAGTTTTAGTGACCGATCAATGACTGGGCGTTCGCCCGGGGGTTTAAAGCGGGTTTAAGACGCCCGGCCGTAGATACTCTTAGGCGGTGTCACATCACGAGTGTGCTAACAATCCCTTGCGTCAAAAACAAGTGACAGGAATCTCCACAGAGAGCTACACTACTAGCTCCCAAACTAGCACCATTAGCTTTGCAGCTAGGCGTGCAGCGCTGGCGTTGTTGCAATAGTAACATGAGATGACACCAATCCTTTTCGAGCGAAGATGCGTCATATGTGAGTGTGAGGTGAATGCGTCAGCGTACTCCTTCCTCATTTTCTTTTTCAAGAAAATAGTACCTCCCTCCTGGTTTAAAGTCCTCGCCGTATTTTGAGTCAAAATTTGACCATATATTTGACTAAGAAAATATTAATACATGTCATTGAAAATTATGTTATTGAATTTGTATTGAAATGTACTTTTCAGTGATAGTATTTTCACAATGTATAACATATATTTTATTAGTTAAAAATCATAATTAAAATGTAACTAAAATACGAGGAGAACTAGTAAATCAGGACGTACTGAGGTAGTTCTACTCTACTGTATATGATGCGCAGTGCTAGTGATAGATATCCAATGCATAGATTCCTGTCAACTTTCGTTTTCACAGAAATATACTTTGGGGGGCTAGTGGCTGCTGAATGGTTCTCGCGTCCGACTTTGTGCTGATCCTTCCTGTGGTTTGCTGTCCACGAGGACGATCTCTGGAAAGAGATGGTAAAAACAAGAGAATATCCTTTGGTACATTCCAAACACGAGTGCAGTAGCCGCAGGCTAGCAGCCATCACCTTTTATCGAGGGTTACACAGTGGCCCATGTGCAACATAGCACGACAACGCTCGCGTGGCACCTCCAAACGATTTGCCACTGAAAACTAAAACTGACACTTTAAATTTGGACCGTGGGGAAGGGGAGTAGCTACGCCTACGTGCAGGTTTTGTTTTTTCTGTGATATTTTCTTTTGAACACAGTACAGATGCATGCGCTCATATACACATGCATACACTCATTCATATGAACGCACACACGCAAACCCTACCCCTATGCGCACCTTCGAAAGACCAAGCCGGCATATCATCTTGAAATTTACGAGTCACCGTAGGTACCTCGTCATCGACGGGAACGTCTCCTCCCACTGAATGCGCATCACCGGAAATCCTGAAATAAATCCAGGAATAAATGCGAGCACCAAGACTTGAACCCTGGTGGTAAACCCGGGCATGGGCAGCCCGGCCCGAGCCCGGCCCGAAAAACCCGGGCCGGGCTTGACGTTCGGGCCGGGCTCGGGCCTTGTTTTGCAGCCCGGAAGATAGTTCGGGCCGGACTCGGGCTTCATTTTTTCTGTATTTTGGGCCGGGCTTTCGGGCTTCGGGCCGGGCTTGCACGTGCGTACACTAAAAAACAGCGTTCGGGCCGGGCTTTCGGGCTTCGGGCTTGATTTCGGGCTGGGCTCGGGCTTGGGAAATGAAGGTCGGGCTTTTACAAGCCCGGCCCGAAACCCGGCCCGGCCCGACGTTTGCCCGGGTTTACCTGGTGGGCTGGAGATACCACAGTCCCTATAACCATCCAACCATAGGTTGGTTCGCTTTTCTCTGTGATATTTGGAACACCGGCGAGTGAAGCACTACTAACCCATAAATCCATAATATATGTTGAGTGGTTGGGCAAGCTTTGTCCTTTAAAATTGTTATGGTGTGCGGTTAGTGTGTTCCTTCACAAACATATGCTGCAATATCATCTATAAACTAGGTTCATAGCTATACAATTATCTTCAATGACCTGGCATAGGCATCAAGTTGCGGGACAAAATAAACAAGGCCGAGTAGCCAAATTTGGCACACAAGTGGACATAATGGTTCTCAAGGACAAAATGCAAGACAAGTGAGACAAGATTGTTTGATATTTTGTCCTACCATCTAATAGAACACATATGCAAAACACCATACATATGCAATCACACAATGTCTACGAAAGAGTAATTTTGCACCTAGTTGACGATGAAAACATTGCCCACCATAAAAGAATATAATCGGTTTTATTGAGACGCATAGGATAGGATATTGAACTTGAGGTTTGATCCTTAGTGGTTGGTGGTACAACCACCTATATTAGCCATCTAATCGATGGTTGGTTCTTTGACATAGTGTTTCTTCGTGCACGTGGGGGAATCACTCCATATTATCCTTAGTATTAAGAGGCGCTAAAGAACATTATAGTGAAGTGTTTGCTCTAAGCAACCCGTCTAAGGATAAGACAAACGATGCGAGAAATGGCGAGATGATTTTGTGCTGCCTGCATGCGTCTTAATTTGAAGAAAAAAAGATCAAACTAGAGGACATAAGGTTGTATAACACATGCATGCTCATTTTCATGACAAATTATGCATTCTAGAAAAAAATGCTACATTTTTCACAG